CGACACCAATTCGCCATCATCGATCCGCGACGTCGACCTGTACTTGGGGAAGAGAATTGCCCAGATTACTGTGAGGCATGACGGCCAGGCGAAGACCGTTTAGCCAGCCTATCGCTGGGCGCCTCTGGTCATTCCATCTGGGCCGTCACTGTCTCTAGGTTTCTACAGGAACAAATGAACGGATGGGAGACGAACGCCTCAATAGCGTTATGGATGTCCTAGGGACAACAAAGGGCAAACAAAATATGAAAGTCCTTTATAGCCTCATTCTTCGGCTGGCGTATCAGAGGAGCACAGATTCCTGGGCCTTTGAAACATTTCGTCGTATTGCTATTGTGCTGGAGCCTCTGAATATAATTCAGATCGGCGATCTTCTAAGGGACGTCCATTATGCACCAGTCGACCTCCATAACTTCGTTCGTCGCCTCCCTACAATTCTAGTCGCTGGCTCAGGAAGCATAACCGGAGACACAATCCTATGCCTTCACAAATCTTTTTCGAGTACATCACAAGCAAGAATTCTGAAAGCCCCTTGTGTGTGTTAATTTACCGCTGAGTTAGCAATCCAATGCCTGCGTCTGATTTCTAATTCCTACCCTATTGTTTGCAATAATCGTGATTCTTTATACACACCTGAACCGGACACTAAACAGGACACAAATCTTTCAATTTCCTTGGTGTACGCACCACGGTTCTGCGCCTCTCACTTTCCCCAGGTAGACGAGATACGACTAGGTGCTGTCATCGATTCTCCCGACATCAATTTATTGGAGCTTGAGGGTATGATCAAGTCATCCTCCGCTTTTCTAAAGACGACTCGAGGCACATATCCTCTTGCCTTGACAATCACACGCTTTTCTGGACATCAGATAATGGCCGCCTCATTTACCCCTTCTCATCATCCAACGGCAAAGGGAACGCCGGATACTCTGATTGGGAAGGCATCCCTGAAGGAGACAACGGCGAACTGGGCGACGACGGAGGGGACGTTGATCATCTTTCACCAGATGGATCACGGGTTGCTTCTGCCTCTACATAGGGCAACGTATGGCTTTGGGACCTGCATACTCTTCAGCCCCCAACCCTCATCACAATGTGGCAGGAGAGGTCCCAGGCCATGTCGCTTGCATTCTCGTCGGATAAAACCGAATCGCCGTTGCAGCACATTCAATTTGGCAGCCAGTTTACGTTGTCGATTATCTGGACAAGCAGTGGCACTGTCTATGGGATTACAGGCGATATCGACGACACTTCCACAGCTCCTGTCAGATTTTTGCCCTAGGGATGGCAAGGTCTAAGCAATCCGAAGACCTCTTTTACGTTCCAATGTGGGATGCTTCCATTTGGAACCCCCTGGGGTACATGCTGCAACCGTTCGTCATGGCCTTATGGTCTAGTAGCATGATTCCTCGTTTGGGTTACTCACTTGATTCGAGGAGGTCCTGGGTTCAACTCCCAGTGAGGCCCTTTCTTTCCATAAATATTTTTCCTTCTTGTAAGGATTATTCTAAGAATTACATTCATGTCTCCTGAGGAGGGGGCGTTACAGCGTTACTCGGCGGAAAGCCTGTTCCTATATCTTTGTTGGTGTTTTATCTTAGTCTCCAAAGTGTGACGTCTGCTTTTACGGATCTCCCGTACGGTGGTGGGTCGATTCGGAGAATTGTCGGGGACCGTTTCCATATGGGACTTGGTTGTGACATCGTTTCGGGGCAAAACCTGTAATGAAAGAAAACCCGTCAAGCTCGCGACGCGTTCTTGTTGTCCTATGAGAGCTAATCGAGCAGTCTACGTACCAGATGAATGTTTCTTCTACTAGACACTATGGATCTCAGGTACTTTTGAATAAACCAGCCCCTTCAAACGCTGCAGATGAGCTTTTTGTAAGCCTCCTTTACAGCTATCTTGACGGGCCCTGCACAATGAGAGGTATGTTTTCTTGTGGGGATAATCGATGTCCCTCATTTCTGGGTTTTGTGTTGTCAAGTACTATAGAAGCAAAAGAAAATAGACATAGTCAAAAAGGGCATAAAAGAAGGGCCTCACTGGGAGTTGAACCCAGGACCTCCTCGAATCAGATGGCTAACCCAAACGAGGAATCATGCTACTAGACCATAAGGCCATGATGAAACCTTCATACTGTGGCCTGAGGAGGCACCAGGGACGGGAAGAGTCCAAGACGGCAGACGATGCCTGACTCAACGAGCTTCCTCCGCATCGCAAAAGTTAACGTTCTACAACGTAGAAAAAGAAGGGCCTCACTGGGAGTTGAACCCAGGACCTCCTCGAATCAGGTGAGTAACCCAAACGAGGAATCATGCTACTAGACCATAAGGCCATGTTACTTGATTCATAACACACCGTAAGGAGGGGGAGCCACTTCAAATCTCGAAAAACACAGCGACTCTCTACAACTATGAAATCCACGGCAGCGTAGAATAATTGCGCGTCACCACCCGTGTCTACTCCTCATCTTCCTCACTCTCCCATGTATTGAACCCCAAATCCCTCACGCCCGACACCGCCACGAGCAGTGGGTGCGCGGGGTCCATCACCGCGAGCATCTGTCCCATATCCTCTAGCACGAAATCCTCCACCTCCTCCATGAGCGCCATTTCCTCCTTGTCACCCCCCTGCTCCGCGTGTCGGTTCGCTCGACCCCGCCGCCGGTCAGCAATCAGCTGGAGCTGGTGCTTCGTTACCTCCACAATGCCGTCGGTGTACTCCTTTGGTAGGGCGTTGGGACCACCAACGATGCGCAAGCAGTCGTTGAGGCATCTGTAGAGAGAGGCAAGGAAGGACGGATCGTGTTCCTTCCGGGCACAGGTTATGAGATGCTGGAAAGTGGCGGAGACCATTTGGTTGGTGAGTGTTTTGCTGGCCTTCCCGGCTGTGAGGAGCATGGAGGTGAGTCTATGACGAAACTTCATCAGCAACAGGCCACAGAATCCAAAGAAGAAATGTACACTGAAGCAGCCTCCCGAACGCCATCGTGGTAGTGGAACGACAGTGCGGGGAGAGTAACTTCGAGCGTAGGCAGTATATATGGCGCAAAGCGCGCCCCCAGGGTCGAGCAATAAATCACCAATGTTTCAAAGGCCTGAGATTTCTCCTCGATTGCTGATGTCCGTATACCCAATGTCTGCCCTTCCATAACAACCGTTTCCCACCCCTCCCTATCTTGTGCCTTCTCCTCGTCCTCATCTAGGGCATGACGCGCATCATTATCAAGGCGCTATGGTAGCGTTAGTAATAATAACAAGAACATACCGTAAACGGAGACATCGGGCTTCGCGCTCGCCGTCTGTAGCAGCGCCGGCACCACGACATGGAGATAGGGCTCGAACTCGGGACCCATAGCCTGGCATACCTTCGCCCATGTTGCGATGAGGTAGTGCCCCAGCTGCGTGTCCGAAGGGTCAGCGGGGCTGTCTTTCATGCAGGCGCTGTCAGCAACTGATTCTCCTAGACACCCCCTAAAAGAGACATACTTTGTATACGGATAAGGAGCTCGATGAGTGTGGCTGCGTCGGGGCGGAACATGTCGCGACCGACTGCGATAGCTGTACAATTCGGCCGAATGTTTAGAACAGGAGATGGTATAACATGAGAAAGAGAAGCACGAACCCACGAGCCCGGCACATTCCATTGCCTTCACCCTCAGCTTCCTATAATCCGGGCCATCCGCGTTCCGTAGGACATTTAGCAGAAGCGGCATAATCGACGAGTAGTGCTGTATCGCCGTCGACCAATCAGCCTCCACCAACACCACATCACAAGTAATACTGACCTTAGCGAACATAAGCTCACTCGCATCTGCAACCATCGCCAGCGTCGTGATGGCTTGCTCCTGCACATACCGCTTCTCCCCTCCTCCATTCTCACCCACACCCAGGAGCCGCAACAGCCGCTCGACAATGGGGTCGAGGTACGGGAGAAGCGTGTCCCTCGCAACGCCCTCACAGAAGTTGATGAGCGCCGCTGCGGCGTGTGCCTGTACTCTAAAGAGGCGGGCGTTAGCTTCTAGGTGTAGCGAGGGATAAAGGGAAGGAACGACTACGTACCTCGATTCTGGATCCTCGAGAGCGGGTATGATAACCGCAAAGAGCTGTTGGTGGTATTTCTCTTGTATGACTTCCTACAGAGCACATGGTCAGCGCCGTAGGTAGGGAGAGGGTCAACGGACGTACCTCCAGGTCTGTGCATAGTTGCCCTCTGCGGAACGTCAGAACGTAGAGATGAAGAGCGAAGAGAGTAGCACATACACGCATTGACAAGCGGCATATCGTACCCGGGGGTGGGTATCTCTGAACATCGGCGTGACAAGACTATAATCCCCACCAAAAGTCAATGTCGGTTGCTAGCCCATCCTTACACCGGGGCTTGGATGAAGGGAAACACTCACTCGACAACTTTACCTAATTGTTCAAGCATGACCTATCCCAACGCGAGTCAGCATGACGAGAAAAGGAGAGGGGCAGAGAACAGCAAACCTTGCCCGTTCCCTCCGCAATCGCCGCAATAGCCATCAACCCCGCATGTCGTACGCGCCAGTCATAACTCGCCAGCATCGATGGGATATACTGTAAACAAACTCAGCCCCATCGCCCTACTGACGGGCAGCGAAGAGAAAGGCCAAACGAACCTGGAAAGCAGGCGGCAACGCCGCGCGCCCCCCCACAGCGCAAGCCATGCGGTCGAGGGATTGTTCGTATAAGGCTGGAGGAGAGTCAGTATCGGAGGAGCTTGAGGCAGAGGAGGGCTGTGAAAGAGGGACGTCAGTCTTCAAGGGAACTTTGAAGAACGGAGGAGGGGATGAAGGGAAAGAAGGCGGAGGTGAAAGTTATAGCGAAGGTGGGGGTGGTGTAACAAGGAAATAGGGGTGAGAGAAGGTAGGCAAGACATGAGTACAGTAGGTAGGGAGGTGAAAGAGAGTAAGGAAGGTAGGGACGAGACGGGGGCAATAATGGAGACGAAGCGATCGAAGTGGGGAGGAAGAAAGGAGGCGAATTAGATCGGAAGAAAACGGCCTGCATAGGGTGGGAACGAAGAGGGCAAGGTCTCCGAAGGGGTAAGGTATACTGGAGGGGTGGAGTGGTGGTGAAGCGAAGAATAAACAAGGCAGGTAAAATGAAGTGGAAGGGGAAGTTGGAGACGAGAGGATGCAGAACGAAGCGGGAAGGAGGTTCAACATGGAGTTTTTTTTTTTAAAAAAAATGAAATCCAAAGTCCAAAGCGAACGCGAACGCAAAAAGGCAAGTTGAAAAAATGAACGGGAAAAAGGCCAAAGGCCAGAAAAGAAAGAGGAAACGTGACCAAAACGCCAACTCACATCCTCTGCCAACCAAACCGCCAACCCCCCCTCCGCCTCCTCATCAATCTCCCCCATCGCCTCCAGGCACGCCCTCACAACCACCTCCACCCAACCAGGCACCCTCCTCATCATCCCCGAGTTCGCCTCGCTCAGCGTCAACATGAACTCCAGCGCGCTGAGCCGTAAAGTCTGCCTCAGGTCGTCTTCCTCCGACTCGTCCAGCTCCGTATCCTGCTCGATCTCCTGGGCTTGGGGTGGGAAGGCAAATGTGGTGGAAGAGGAAGGATCAGAGGAAGGATCAGAGGCGGATGTGGGTAGAGAACCAGAGCGCGTCGGGAACGGTCTCCCCACCGTGGGCGTAGGCCCACAGTCCACCGCCGGGAGTATGAGTGGTGAAAGCAGCTGCAGGAGCGCTGGGAGATGCGGTGCGAACAGGGCGGGGTGGGTCCCGCATAGGGGCGTCAGGACCGCGAGGAACACGGAGAGGTTGTGGTAGTTGCTTTGGGTGCTGTTCCCCGTCCCACCTAAGGGCACGGTGAGAGGGAAGGAGGCGGGTACCAGGGATAGGGCGTGTGCAAGTGCGGCGAGGGTGCTGAGCATCGGGCCTAGGAGGGGCGCGGCGATAGAGAGTTGGGAAGCGTCGGCGGAGGTGAGATAGGCTACGGAGGCGCGAAGGGCGGCAGCGCGGACCTAATTAGGGTAGGGGTTAGTTTACGATTATAAGAAAGAGAAAATAAATAAATGAAGCTACGGACCTCGGTACTCTCCCCGTCCTCCAGTCCCTGTTTGAGCACCCCCAGCACTGCGTCCGGCTGCAGATCCAACACCAAATTCGGCGCGCCCGCGAAAACCCCAAATGCAGTCGCCCGGCCTAGAACCAGCATTTTTTCCTCCGGCGTCCCCTCCCCTCCCTGGGTCTGCGCCTGCGTATGAGCCTGAGCCATCTGGAACGCCTGCCCTTGCAGCGCATGCCACGGCCTCCCTCGCTTCATACCCTGATTCGCAACATCGCACACCGTCTCCACTACGTCCCGGCGGACCTTGGGAACGGGCTCGTGCATGAGGGCGTGAAGGAGCAGCCGCTCAAGTATTGTGATGGTTTGGGCGGAGAGGTGGTCGTAGAGGACCTGACCGCCTACATGGTGCGGGAGGG